ACACTGAATATTTTACTCTTGTAAAAGGTGATGCCCTGGCTAGTGAAAATTAACCTTGATTGGTGGACATTTAATGAGGAGGTGAGCTTTTATTAAGTGTTTAGTAAATTGCTGTGAGTCTCCCATATTCACCTCAGAACAACCATAAAATAGCTCCCCAGAACAAATCTTGGAACAGCAGAGCCAGTGGAAAGATGGGGTGGAGCAGTCTTTTAGCCCAGAAAACTTGGAGGAGCAGCAAGAAAGGTTGGTCTCACTCAGGTAAAAGACGAGCATATTCCAGAACAGGAAGCATTCCAGCAAACTAAAAGCAAGCACCACCTCAGTAAACCACTGGGAGATCCTGAGCCCTAGGGAGGTGCCCTCCAGCAGCTGGAATTCCAGGTGATTGGGCACATTCCAGGGCAAACAGGCAACATCCAAGAGCCAGACCTCCATGTGCTTCAGTATAGCCCCGGGGAAACGCAGAAAAACCCCACCTGGACTCAGCACATGCCAGACACCACTACTAGGAACCCAGCTAAGCACCAGGTAAGCTGTCAGCACCCAGGGCCCCAGTGCACAAAGCCAGTTTCTAGGCCCCTAGAACCTGGCACAAGAAGTTAGGGACAGTGACCCTTGTGTTTCAGCAGGAGAGCTCAACTTTAAAAGCCAAGGAACAGGCAAAAAAGTTAAGCAAAAAGCAAAAAGGAACAATGACCATAGAGAGTAACTATGTTGACAGGGAAGATCAAAACACAAACTCAGAAGAGCACAATATTGTCAATATAACTACATCCAAAACCTCCAAGGGTAATATGAACATGTCTGAAGGTCAATTTGTTTTTCTAAAATGGGATTATTTAAGTATTTTATTTCCTCTTCCATTACCTGGGCAATTTATATTTTTTTGTAAATATTCATCCATTTCACTAAGATTGTCAAATTTATTGGCATACACTTGGGCAAAATTGCTCCTAATTATTGTTTTGATTTCCTCTTCATTGGTGGTGAATTCAACCTTTTCCTTTTTGATACTGGTAATTTGGTTTTTTCTTTTTTTTTATCAAATTACCCAAAGGTTTATCTATTTTACTGTTGTTTTTTTCCCCCATAAAACCAGGTCTTAGTTTTATTCATTAGTTCAATAGTTTCCTTAATTTCAGATTCATTAATCTCTCCTTTGGTTTTTCAGAATTTCTGATTTGGTATTTAATTAGGGATTTTTAATTTGTTCTTTTTCTAGCTTTTTTAGTTGCATGCCCAATTCATTGATCTCCTCTTTCTCTATTTTATTCATGTAAACATTTAGAGATATAAAACCTCCCCTAAGAATCACTTTCACTGCATCCCATAAGTTTTGGTATGTTGTCTCATTATTGCCATTCTCTTGGATGAATTTATTGATTGTTTCTGTGATTTGTTGTTTGACCCACTCATTCTTTAGGATTAGATAAGTTTCCAATTAATTTTTAGTCTATCTTTCCATGCCCTTTATTCCATGTCATTTTTATTGCATCATGATCTGAAAAGGATGTATGTAATCTTTCTGCATTGGATTGTGAGGTTTTTATGCTCTAATAAATGATCACTTTTTGTGTAGGAGCCATGTACTACTGAGAAAAGGTATATTCCTTTCTATCCCCATTTAGTTTTCTCCAGAAGTCAACCATATCTAACTTTTCTAAAATTCTTTTCACCTCCTTAACTTCTTTCTTATTTATTTTGTGGTTAGATTAATCTAGTTCTGAGAGGGGGAGATTGAGGTCCCACACTAGTATACTTTTGCTGTCTATTTCTTCTTGTAACTCTCTTAACTTCTTCTCTAAGAATCTGGATGCTATACCACTTATTGCATATATGTTTAATAATGATATTACTTCATTGTCTATGGTACTTTTTAGCAGGTTATAGTTTCCTTCCTTATCTCTTTTAATTAGATCTGTTTTTGCTTTTTCCTTGTCTGAGATCAGGATTGCTACCCCTGCTTTTTTTTTTTAATTTTCAGTTGAAGTATAATATACTCTTCTTCAGCCTTTCACCTTTACTCTGTGTGTATCACTCTGCTTCAGATGTATTTCTTGTAAACAACATATTGTAGGATTCTGGTTTTTAATCCACTCTGCTCTTCCCCTCCATTTTATGGTTGAGTTCATCCTATTCACATTCTGTTATGATTACTATCTGTGTTTTTCTCTCCACCCTATACCCCCGTCCCATTCATGCTTTTTTCTCTTTCTCCCTTTCCTTCCTCACTAGAGTTTTGCTTTCGATTACCACCTCCCTCAGCCTGCCCTCCCTTCTATTAGTCCTCATCCTTTTCTTCCCCTTTACCCTTACTACTTCTTCCCTACCTTCTATCTACCCCTCCTTTTCTTTCTCTTTTCCCTTCTTACTTCCTATAGGATGTTAGATTTCTATAACTGAGTATGTTATTGCCTTTTTGAGCCAAATCTGATGAGAGTAAGGCTTAAAGAATGTTCATCTTCCTTCTTTCTTTCCCTCTATTGTAATAGGTTTTTGTGCCTTTTGATGTGATGCAATTTGCCCGTCTGCCTCCTCCTTTCCTCTTCTCCCAGAACAATCCCTTTACACTACTCAGATTTTATCATTACATCAAAGTCAACTTACACTCACTCTCCCTATGTATAACCCTCTTAAATGTCATCATAACCATGGAGTTCTCAAGGATTACAAATGTCATCTTCCCTTGTAGGGATGAGTTTGCCCTTATTAATAACATTATTTTTTCTTTCTTGTTTACCTTTTTATACCTCTCTTGAATATTTGAATATCAAATTTTCTGTTGAGATCTGGTCTTTTCATCAGGAAGGTTTGGAAGTCCACTATTTCACTGAATATCCATCTCCTCCTCTGAAAGATTATGTGTTTTGCTGGCTAGTTGATCCTTGGTTGTAGTCCAAGCTCTTCTGCTTTATGGAATATTGTTATTCCATGCCCTCTGATCTTGTAATGTAGAAGGTGCAATGTCCTGCATAAACCTGACTGTGGTTCCATGATATTTAAATTGTGGCTGCTTACAGTATTTTCTCTTTGACCTGGTAATTTTGGAATTTGGTTACAATATTCCTTGGCGTTTTCAATTTGGGGTCTCTTTCAGGAGTGGATTCTTTTGATGGCTATTTTACCTTTTGGTTCTAGGACCTGAGAGCAGTTTTCCTTCATGATTTCCTGAAAAAGGTTGTCCAGGCTCTTTTTTCATCATGGTTTTCAGGTAGACCAATAATTTTTAAATTATCTCTCCTATATCTATTTTTCAGGTCAGTTGTTTTACCAATGAGGTATTTTACGTTTTCTTGTATTTTTTCATTCTTTTGTTTCTGTTTGACTGATTCTTGATGTCTCATACAGTCATTAACTTCCACTTGACCAATTCTAATTTTTAATAAATTTTTTTCTTCTATCAGATTTTGTACCTCCCTTTTCCATTTGGCCCATTTTAGTTTATAAGGAGCTCTTCTCTTCAGTGAGTTTTTGTGCCTCCTTTTCCTTTTGTCCAATTCTACTTTTTAAGTACTTTTTTTCTTCAGTGTACTTTTTTTCCCATTTGGCCTATTGTATTTTTAAAGGACTTGGTTTCTATAGTCAATTTTTGTCCTTCCTTTTCCAAGCTATTGACTTTCTCTTGTATACATCTCATTTCTTTTCCCAATTTTTGTTCTACCTCTCTTATATGACTTTTAAAATCCTTCTTGAGCTCTCCCAAGAAGGCTTTTTGGGTTGGAGACCAATTCATATTCCCTTTTGAGGTTTCAGATATGGGTATATTGACAATATTGTCCTCTTCTGAATTTGTGTGTTGATCTTCCCTGTCCCCATAATAAGAGTCTATGGTCATTGTCCATTTCTGCTTTTTTGCTCATGGTGTTTGTCTTTTCCTGGCTTTAAATTTGAGCTCTCTTGCTGGAGTGCAGAGGGCACTGACCCAAATTTCTTGTGCTGGGAGCCCAGTACCTGGTCACTGGCTTTGTGTGCTGGGGCCTACAGTGTAGGCAGCTGGAGGCTGTAACTTACCTGGTGCTGAGCTGGGGTCAGCAACACTGGGGTTATCATAGTGGTGGTGTGAAATCTGGCTCCTGAATGACTCTTGCTCACCCAGGCTTCTTTAAAGCATGTTGGCTGCTGAAGGATGTCTGCCAGCCTGGAGCTGTGCCTCCTGGAGTTGTGCTGAAGCACCAGGATATGAAGGGCACCTCCTCAGTTTCAAATTCATTGCTACCACAAAAAGAGCTGCTATAAATTTTATACAAATGGATACCTTTCTCTTTCTTTCATCTCTTTGTGATATAAAGTTAGAAGCTGCATTGCTGGGTCAAAGGTTATGCATAGTTTAATAAGGTTAGGTATAACTGATTACAAATTGTTTTCCAGAATGATTGAAGCAGTTTATAATTCCAATGATGCTTAGAGATATCTCTGAGATCATTCTCACAGCTTAAACATTGTCAACAATTATTTATGTCTGTTATTGATTTGATTATTAATAACATATTCAATAACTTTAAGATATGTTTAATTCTAAGAGATTAGGAGTTTTAATATATAGAGAACAACTACTCATAAGAAGGAAGATTTCTTTAGTTAATTAAGTAATATCTGATGGACTAGGGTGGGGCAATTGAGCTTAGTTGATTGAAAGACTTTAAAATTACATTAATTAATGAGGAAAAATTCCAATAAACCCCTTGACTGCCTTAAAATTTGGGATGATGAGATTAAATATTAGAATGAATCAAGTAAGGCTTGAGGGTTAACCTATAAATAGAAGTGATCAACCTCAGACTACACTGACCCTTCTAAGCTTGTTACATACAAATTGCACATAGGGATATTATAAAGATCATTTAATATAATTTTGTGAAATTGTCTAACTCTACAAACTACAGAGCTACTACTGTGAGGCATTAAATTACTATTGGTAATAGAGGGAAAAGTACAAAAAGTAAAAAAGCTAACATAAAGAATGATTAGATACAAGTTTTAGATTAGACACATGATACTAGTTTTAACAGTTTAATTGGAGTCATCACTGATTATACAATATTTGACAGCAAAGTCTACTTCTCATAATAAGGACATTACAAATACATACAATTTAAAAACATAAACACTTGATTTATTCATTTGGTTTTTTGTATTTTTTTTGGTAGCTTCTCAAGAACCCAAGACTTTAATTTCTCTAGCTCACTTCTGCTTAGCTCATGATAAAGATTTGGAATGCTATGAAATGTTGTGCTTACTCCCAATGATTTCAAAATTGAATTTGTCTCTTCACCCCATGAATGAAGAACTAACTCATCAGTAGTGCCATGACACTGAAATAATTCAGGAAGTGTACCTTCATTCTTCTGAAGAGCCTAGTGAGAAGGGGAAAAAAAAAGTTCTATATCAACAATTTAATTAACTATCACCTATGAACAGGACAAAGATGGCTTAGAAACTGAGGGGTTAGCATAAAATTCTGATCTTCTTAAAGCTACATCAGTAAGAAAATAGCTGAGGGGAAGAAGATACAGTGAAACTGTCTCAGATTCAAGTTTCTCACAAGAGGACCAGGATGAGGCCTTAGCTAAGGGGTTGGCAGAACTCCTAAGGTTCACATGGACTAATCACCTAGAGGCTGAAGAAGTGACTTGTGGGCTCTCTATTAATGGAATTGAAGAGACAGTATGGAGTACCTCCTTTAGTGGCTGAGAGGGGAGAACCACAATCTCTTTTCCTGAAGAGGAATAATGGATTGCCTGACCAAGGTATAGGATAGAGAAGAAGAAGATGGAAGGATAAGGGAATTTATATGCTTGAATGAACTGCTATGCCACCTATATAGTATCTACTCTTGATAAAGAAGCGTCTACTAATAAATTACTCCAACACTTCAGTAGAAAAAAAAAACTGCTGTAGAAAAATTTTATAAATGACTTGTCACAGTTTGTTCGTGATACACTGTACAAAATTTGACATAACTCTGTCACATACATATATGTAGCATATTCATATGCTTTGCCACAGAGAGTGTAATGGGATTCAAAAATCTTTTCCCTCAAATGTTTCACTGAATAATGTTTTTAGTATTTTCAATATCAATTGGCCACAACCAATTAACTTCACAATTATCATTAATTCCCAGAAAATGCTGTGTAGTTGTTATTATTGTTGTTAAATTATCTTTTTTATAGTAGCAACCTATATATGCTGTACAAAGTATTTTTTTAAGTTTGTAACTTACCTGATAAACAGCAGATGTTTTATTGAGAAAACCAGAAAGTACAAATACTCCAGCTAGATCACGATGCTTCCTAAATGCTAAATGTAGTGCCATGCATCCACCCATTGAAAATCCTCCTAGAGGCAACAAATTATATTAGTCTAAGCAGCAATTAAAACAAAAGTTCAAATCACTTACATAAAACATTAGAACATCACCTGTATCTTCACGTACAAGTGCTTAAAGACCTTTAAAGCAGCCTAGAGCTAAAAAGTATCTCAAAACTCAATACAGAGTTTTGTAAAATTTTATCAAATAGAAGTTAACCTGTTCCAGTGAACCTTTCACACTTTGTAAAATTATTTTTCTATAGTGACTTGTCTATTGTTTGTGTTCTTTGTACAAATAGAAAAAAAGTCATTAAGAAAAAGTCTATGCAGTTTTCTTTTTAGTGCTTCAAGCAGGGAAGATTTAGTAAAATAAATATGGAAAGAAAATATCATTAGGATAGTTGAGCAGCTTGAGACGCTTTCTGTGTTTTTTTTTTTTTTTAAGTCATAGCCAGGTGTTTATCTAACACTGCCAAACACTCTCTTCTCTAGAGAAAAAAATTAAGAAGAGAAGGGCTATTTATTTCAAAGCCCACTTAATTTTTGAACCTTTATTAAAACTTTCAACCAGTGTTCTAATAAGACATTCATTTGAGGGTCGAGTATATTTGGCTTATCATCCAAGTTAGAACTACTTATTCATTTAATTTTCAGCACTAAAATGAAGATGATGAGGTCATATATCACTGGTATTAAGATTATAATAAAAACTTCTGAGAGCCAAGATGGCAGAGTAAGCAGTAAGTCGCTATCACTCCCCCTTTATTAACCTCTAAAAACCCATAAAATACTGTCCTAGGAAAAATCCTGGAACACCATGGAGCCAGCAGAAAGAAGGGCACAGTACTCTTTCAGCCAGGGAGGCCTGGGGAATTAATTGGAAAGGTCCCTCTCACTCTGGTGGAAAAGGACCAGTATAGGACAGGAAGCCTCAAGGAAAGCCAGTGGCAAGCCACACCTCAGCAAACCAGCAGGAGATTCTGAGCCCTAGGGTGGTGGAGCAGGCAAGTGCCAACACCAGGACCTCTGTGTGCCTTGGCACAGCCAGGAGAACCATCAGACTCTACCTCACAGAACCATCATGTGTACTGACAAACATGACTCCTCTAGCAACTCAACCTCCCCATGCTTCAGTGCAGCTCTAGGCTGGCAGGCAACCTCCAGGGCCCAGATCCCATGCCCCTGAGAGCTTCAGTGTAGCACAGAGAACATGCAGAAAAAACCCACCTGGACTCAGCACATGACAAACACCACCACTAGCAGCTGCCAGACCCCTACAGCCTCCGGCTGCCAGCACCTTAGGTCCTAGTGCACAAATCCAGTGACCAGGTCCCCTGGCTCCCAGCACAAGAAGCATTGGTCAGTGCCCCCTGTGCTCCAGCAGGAGAGCTCAACTTTAAAAACCAGGAAATAGGCAAATATCGTGAACAAAAAGCAGAAACAGACAATGGTAACAGATTCTTACTATGGAGACAGGGAAGATTAAAAACTCAAATTCAGAAGAGGACAACATTGTCAAGATACTCACATCTGAAACCTCAAAGGGGAATATGAACATGTATCCAGACCAAAAAACCTTCTTGGAAGAGCTCAAGAAAAATTTTAAAAGTCAAATAAGAGAGGTAGAAGAAAAATTGGGAAAAGAAATGAGAGGTATGCAAGAGAGAGTCAACAGCTTGGAAAAGGAAGGACAAAAATTGACTATACAAAACAACTCCTTAAAAATTACAATTGACCAAGTGGAAAAGGAGGCACAAAAGCTAACTGAAGAAAATAGTTCATTAAAAATTTTAATTGGGCAAGTGGAAGCTAATGAGTTTAGGAATCATCAAGAATCAGTCAAACAAAATTGAAAGAATGAAAAAATATTAGAAAACATAAAATACCTCATTGGGAAAACAACTGACCTGGAAAACAGATCTAGGGGAGAAAATTTAAGAATTATTGGTCTATCTGAAAACCATGATTAAAAAAAAAAAAAGCCTGGACAGCACCTTTCAAGAAATCATTAAGCAAAACTGTCCTGAGGTCCTAGAACCAGAGGTAAAACAGTCACCAAAAGAATCCACCAATCACCTCCTGAAAGAGATCCCAGAAGGAAAATGCCAAGGAATATTGTAGCCGAATTCCAGAATTATCAGGTCAAGGAGAAAATACTTCAAGCAGCCAAAAAAAATCAATTTAAATATTGCGGAACCACAGTTAGGATTATACAGGACCGTGTAGCTTCTACAAGGGCTTGGAATATGATATTCCATAAAGCAGTGGTGCTTGGATTACAACCAAGGATCAACTAGCCAGTAAAATTGAGCATAATCTTTCGGGGGAGGAGATGGACATTCAATGAAATAGGGTACTTCCAAACCTTCCTGATGAAAAAACCTGAGCTCAACAGAAAATTTGATCTTCAAATACAAGACTCAAGAGAGGTATAAAAAGGTAATCAGCAAAGAAAAAAGAAAACATGTTATTCAATGAGGGCGAACTGTTTATAACCCAACATGGGAAGATGACATCTGTTAACTCTTGAGAACTGTATCTTTACTACGACACTTAGAAGGGGTATACATAGATAGAGAGCTTGAGTATTAGTTGACTTTGATGTGATGATAAAAAATCTAATTAAGAGGTGAAAAGGGATTGTACTGGGAAAAGAAGAAAGGAGGAGGCAGAAAAGGGTTACATTACATGGAGAGGAACAAAGATCTATTACAACAGAGGGAAAGAAGGAAGGGAGATGAGCATTGGTTGAACCTTACTTTCATCAGATTTGGCTCAAAGACAGAACAGCATAATCAATTACTTATAGAAACATATCTTATGGGAAGGAGGGGAAAGGGAAAGTTAAAGGGAGGAGGTAGACAGAAGGGAGGGCAGATCGAGGGAGGCGGTGGTCAGAAGCAAAACACTAGTGAGGAGTAAAAAAGGGAAAGGAGAAGGAAAAGCATAAACGGGGAGAAAATAGGATGTAGAGAAAGACACAGTAATCATAACTATGAATGTGAATTGGATGGACTCAACCATAATATGGAAGTGGAGAGCAGAGTGGATTAAAAACCAGAATCCTACAATATGTTGTTTACAAGAAATACATCTGAAGCAGAGTGATACACACAGAGTAAAGGTGAAAGGCTGAAGAAGAATATATTATACTTCAACTGAAAATTAAAAAAAAAAGCAGGGGTAGCAATCCTGATCTCAGACAAGGAAAAAGCAAAAACAGATCTAATTAAAAGAGATAAGGAAGGAAACTATAACCTGCTAAAAAGTACCACAGACAATGAAGTAATATCATTATTAAACATATATGCAATAAGTGGTATAGCATCCAGATTCTTAGAGAAGAAGTTAAGGGAGTTACAAGAAGAAATAGACAGCAAAAGTATACTAGTGTGGGACCTCAATCTCCCCCTCTCAGAACTAGATTAATCTAACCACAAAATAAATAAGAAAGAAGTTAAGGAGGTGAAAAGAATTTTAGAAAAGTTAGATATGGTTGACTTCTGGAGAAAACTAAATGGGGATAGAAAGGAATATACCTTTTCTCAGTAGTACATGGCTCCTACACAAAAAGTGATCATTTATTAGAGCATAAAAACCTCACAATCCAATGCAGAAAGATTACATACATCCTTTTCAGATCATGATGCAATAAAAATGACATGGAATAAAGGGCCATGGAAAGATAGACTAAAAATTAATTGGAAACTTATCTAATCCTAAAGAATGAGTGGGTCAAACAACAAATCACAGAAACAATCAATAAATTCATCCAAGAGAATGGCAATAATGAGACAACATACCAAAACTTATGGGATGCAGTGAAAGTGGTTCTTAGGGGAAGTTTTATATCTCTAAATGTTTACATGAATAAAATAGAGAAAGAGGAGATTAACGAATTGGGCATGCAACTAAAAAAGCTAGAAAAAGAACAAATTAAAAATCCCTAATTAAATACCAAATCAGAAATTCTGAAAACCAAAGGAGAGATTAATGAAACTGAAATTAAGGAAACTATCGAACTAATAAATAAATAAATACGACCTAATTTTATGAAAAAAAAATAGATAAGCCTTTGGGTAATTTGATTAAAAAAAAGAAAAAACCAAATTACCAGTATCAAAAATGAAAAAGATGAATTTACGATCAAGAGAAAATTAAAACAATAATTAGGAGTGATTTTGCCTAACTGTATGCCAATAAATTTGACAATCTTAGAGAAATGGATGAATATTTACAAAAATATAAATTGCCCAGATTAATGGAAGAGGAAATAAAATACTTAAATAATCCCATTTCAGAAAAAAGAAATTGAACAAGCCATCAGTGAAACTCCCTCAGAAAAAAATCTCCAGGGCCAGATAAACTTATAAGTGAATTCTATCAAATATTTAAAGAACAATTAATTCCAATACTATATAAACTATTTAGAAAAATAGGCAAAGAAGAAGTCCTACCAAATTCTTTTTATGATACAAATATGGTGCTAATACCTAAACCAGGAAGAGCCAAACAGAGAAAGAAAATTATAGAACAATTTCCCTAGTGAATATAGATGCAAAAATTAAAAAAAAATCAGTAAAGAGATTACAGAAATTTATCAGGACGATAATACATCATGACCAGGTAGGATTTATACCAGGAATGCAGTGCTGGTTCAACATCAGGAAAACTGTCAGTATAACTGACCATATCAACAACAAAACTTACAAATCATATGATTATCTCAATAAACGCAGAAAAAAGCTTCTGACAAAATACAACATCCATTCCTATTAAAAACATTGGAGAGAACAGGAATGAATGTGGAGTCTTCCTTAAAATGATAAGTAGCATCCAGTGAACACTATCAGCAAGCATTATATGTAATGGGGAAAAGCTTGAACACTTCCAGTAAAATCAAGGGTGAAAGAAAAAATAAAGTATAGGGCAGCTAGGTTGGGCAGTGGATGGAGTACCCGCCCTGGATTTAGGAGGACTCAGGTTCAAATCTCGGCCTCAGACACGTAACACTTACTAGCTGCGTG